CGAGTATTCCAAACTTTGATTAACTTTTGTCTAACAAGATTCGTTTATAACTAATATTTAGGCTCAAAAGTCTCAAATACTGTTCTCTTTTGTCCAGTGACAACACAACTGAGAAGGAACTTTCGGTGGCGAGTACAATATTGAAGCTAAAATATATTCAAATTCTTGTTCGACTAAGCTTTGACTTCACTAATAATTGATCTAATGACGGAAATATATCGTAAAAACATTGAAAAAGTCAATTCTCGACATYAGTCGGAAAATGTGTACAGAAATATCATACCTGTTGGCCTTACCTTATTCTTAAATGATAAATCAAATTTTGCTTCAGTTTTTGAAACTTGCCCTCGCAAAAGTCGTTTCCGAGAAATAGAGATTTCGTAACGCGGTTACAAAGTAACGCTCTAAGGTCTACGCCACAGGAAACCCAAAAGCAATCTTTTCCCATACACGCAACAACAAAAGTTYCACTGTTAACATTTAATCTAAGAACTCAAAGTACAACAAAGACGAATACAAGCAAAGACAGATTAAGTACAAGCAAAGTTCTGTGTGAAACGCCACATTTTCTTGAATTTGGAACAAGTGAACATGAATTTGCGCAAGTRCAAATGCAACTGACAAAAAATATTTCTTATTATTTGGAGAAAACCTACTTTGTAATACGCATGCTTGCATTTATGGTATTGCCTTACCCTTTTTTGACTATTAAATAATGTAGTAGTTACAAGATTGGATGTTTTAATATTATCTACAAGCGCTCTCTTATCTACAATATATATATATATTGCCTGCTGCATTTAAAAACAACGAAGGATTAATATCTGGTAAGGACTGTTCAGACGGGCGACTTTTGATGYAACTTTTGGGCAATAGATCTCTWAARCTTGGGCGTTTARTTTGCGCATTTCAKACCACATRTCATTCCTTTGAGAAWGRTATTCTTCGTTTCATTTGCATCCAAACAAAGACATGATACTAAAGGGAATGACACGTGGTCCGAAATAGGCCAAACATTACGCCCAAGGTAAAGAGGTAAAGTGGCCGCTAGTTTCAACACGCGACGTGAGGTTACAGTGAAGTTAAAACAGAAACTACTTCTGCAATCGCGATCTCACGAGCAACTAGCGTAAACGGGCATTTAATGCTATGCGTTAGGATGAGCTGTCAATCACTTTAAATAGAGCACTATCAGTGCTATCCACATCAGGTACAGTCCTATTTTTCTCGTTGTGCTGAGCAATAAGGTCGCTTCTGTCCAGTAGTGCGCTGAGCTGCTTTTTGCTCAGTAATAATCCATCGTTAGCGATCACTTGGTCGTGACTTGCAGCTTCTAATAGATCTCTTAGTTCTTCGGCACTTAGTACATTATCGTCTAACTTTCCTTTGAATTTTCCTGAAATATGAAAGGGCTTTGTTAGATTCCTTTAGTATTCTTTGAGGAAACAAATTTGAACTCAGTGACAAGATCTAGAGTCGACAATAATTATTAG